GATGTATGAACCAGGAGGTCAGGGTGCAATTCCTGCTCAGGGCACAAGCCCCAGTTGGGGGCTCAATTCCAGGTGTGGGTCATACAGGATCCAGCCGATCAGTGATTCCCTCTCATCATTGATGTTTCTATAGCCCCATCTCTTTTCCTCTCTGTGCTATAACAATGGCATCTAAACTTCTTCCTCACCTACATCAGCCCTTCAGGCCCCCGTAGCTTCTGTTCAGTACTTTAGAATTTTACTAATGATGTAACTGACATCAGAATTTGGCAAATACGTAACTTTACATTCATGAAGTAGGAAGCCCACCATTGTATTTTTAGCAGGATTCTAAAGTTTTGAATATTATTAATTTTTGGAATATAATAAATTGGCTTCTGTGTACTTTATAACTGGAGTGATTTTTCTTGTCCTGATTTTCATTGAAACCCTGAAGAATTTCTCAGTGTAACCTCATTAACTTTTTTCTTGGGGTAGAATCAACCGGCGTAAAACTGATTTTATTCTCAATTACTTGAACGTAACTGAATGATGGTCATTCTTTCTAGAGGAACCGCAGAGACCGTGGCAGATTTGCAGTTGAAGAATTTTATTTTGCATCAAAAGTTATTTTGTATAGTGATAGCATGGCCACAGGTATGTTTATAGGCAATAGTTATTCTTGCTGTGTTTTCCAAGCCATCACTATAAGTTCCAGGGACAGCAAGATAGCAGAGATTGAAATGAAAGCCCCACATTCATTGCTTCTCCAATGTACTGTTGTAAATTGTACAAGCTGGTAAATATCAGATGCTTGGCATGGGCCAACCCAAAGGATTACACAATGATTAAAGAAACTAGATATTGGATACTCTTCCACTCTACTTCCTGACATTCCCATGGAGCATTCATATGTATAAGAATCTCCTGATATTTTGTCTCTAGTTCTCATTATCTGGCCCAGGGGCTTTATGGTTTTGTTCTGTTCCGGACAAACTATTGGATCCAGATCATTCATAGGAATTTGGTTCCATGTTTTGGTACTGTAGTGAGGAATATGGAGGAAGTGTATTGATGTAAAATATACATAAGATTTTTTTTTTCACACGTTCAGTAGGAAAATAGATGAAGCAGACATTGTCCCTTGGGTTAGAGGGTATTCTTGTTTTCATTTTGTCCAGAATGCATATTCTTCTGCTGTGAGGTTAAAAGCTCTTAAGTCAAAGATTTTAGCATTGCCCTACCCGTGGTCGGCAAACTGCGGCCCGCGATGCACATGCAGCTCTTTGGCCCCTTGAGTGTGGCTCTTCCTAAGCCTTAGGAGTACCCTAATTAAGTTAATAACAATGTACTTACCTATATAGTTTAAGTTTTAAAAATTTGGCTCTCAAAAGAAATTTCCATTGTACTGCTGTTGATATTTGGCTCTGTTGACTAATGAGTTTGCCGACCACTGCCCTAGCAGGTTTAGCTCAGTGGATAGAGCATCAGCCTGTAGACTGTAGGGTCCTGGGTTAAGGGCACATGTCTGGGTTGCAGGCTCGATCCCCAGTAGGGGGTGTGCAGGAGGCAGCCAATCAATGATTCTCTCTCATCATTGATGTTTCTATCTCTCTATCCTCCCTTCCTCTCTGAAATCAATAAAGAAATCTATTTTTTTTAAAAAAGATTTCAGCATTGTTTATCTCATGGCACATATGAGCTAACTACAGAAATTCAGTGGTCCACCAAGATATATATTTTGCCAGTTTGCCAAAAGAAATGTGTCGTGTGTGTTTCCTTCCCACGTCCCGCGTGGGTCAGGGTTCAGGACCTAGAAGCAGAGCCCCGCACAAATGAAAGAGAAAAGACACGAGATAATTTGAAATATTGGGGAGCCAGGCGGGCAAGCCCAACTCAAGGAGAAAGACTTCCACTGATGCTCAGGCCGCTCCAATCTTTTATTTGATCTGGGGTAGCCCTAGGATAAGGAGATTTCAATGACACACAGACTAGGTCATAGCATGACCCTTAGGTAGGCAAGTTCCAGTAACAGGCAGAATATCTAATCAACAATTATCAACAAGGAACTAAGGTGGGGATGATGCTTCAGCTACCATTATCTAGATTAACTGGGTGGTGCACAGCCCCGACCTTTGCTAGAGATTCAAAGGTCACCAGCTTTTGGGGTTCCTACGCTTCTCAGCTAGTGAAGACAATAATTGGTTACCGACACAAATGTATGATTTTGATTTATGCACACCACACAGGTGTTACTCTGTTGCCTGTTGTCATATATATTATTAGACATTTTATGGATAATGTAGTCTGTGCTGCTTACTAAATAGTCAGATGTTGCTTGTTCTAAAAATTCTTGCAGCACACCAGTTTTCCTGTGTGACACTTCAGTAGAAAATCTCTGGTGTAAACTTATCCAATCCATTTTGTGTAATGTGTCATTTAATACCACTTTTTCCTTATTGATTTATGTCTGGGAGAACTGTCCATTGATGTCAATGGGAAGCTAAAGTCCCTTACTATGAATGTATTAATTTAAAAATGTCAAAAGCTATACACCTGTCAATAATCACTTAAAATATAAATGGGCTCAGTGGATAGAGTGTCGGACTGTGGACTCAAGGGTCCCAGGTTCCATTCCAGTCAAAGGCATGTACCTTGGTTGTGGGCATATCCCCAGTAGGGGGTGTGCAGGAGGCAGCTGATTGATGTTTCTAACTCTCTATCCCTCTCACTTCTTCTCTGTAAAAAGTCAATAAAATATATTAAAATATATATATATATATAGTCACGGGTATGTAAAGTTTTTCAAAGGAAATAGTCAATCTATATATATAAAAAGCTAGCAACAGAAACACCATAACGACCAGAACCAGTTGCTATGATGCCCACTTGCCAGCAAACCGGCCTGATCAGGAGTAGGGCCAGCCGGCCAACCTCCCGTGGCCCCTCCCTCCAGCCAGCCCCTCGATAGGCCTGGATTGCCAGCCAGGCTGAGGGACCCCACCTGTGCACGAATTCATGCACCGGGCCTCTAGTTTTTTCATAAGCCCAAATGCAGAGGGATTTATTTATTTATATTTACCAAAGATAAAAGAGGGAAAATATAACCTCATCAAAATTTCAGGAAATATGTATCATTAAGTATCTTGAGCATAAAAGTGGTGTCAGGGTTAAGACAGAGATGGGATATAAGTAGGAATTCAGAAAAAAGCATGAGAGACTAAACTGAAATTAGCCTTGGGAGAGAACACTCTCTGACAAAGCCGTTTCTAGAATTCCTCAGACAATGACAGAAGACTGGTTGTAGAGCTTTGGAAAGGACCACATTATCTTTAGGGAAAGAGAGAGCAAACTCATAGGAAGGTGTAACAAACATGGCAAATGGACTAGACAGAGAACTGTTGGATACACTGAAAAATTACATAAACTCTAATACATCGCATCAGTCAGGGTTCAGTGCAAGGAATGAAAACATCCATGCTTTTAATTAGGGAGGAATCCAATCCATAAAATTTTATGCTTATAAATTATTAGCAAGAAGAGAGAAGTGGATTCTAAGATGGGCCTCCAGGGATGACTTCATAATTTTCTTTGGGGAGCTACCACCTCTAACACTGTAAATGGTGCTATGAGTTCAAGAACGCACCGGGGACCCCCACCCTGATCTGGGACACCCTTCAGGGCAAACCAGCTGGCCCCCACCCATGAACCAGGCCTCTATCCTATATAATAAAAGGGTAATATGCAAACTGACCCTAACAGCGGAACGACTGGGAATGACTGGTCACTATGACACCCACTGACCACCAGGGGGCAGATGCTCAATGCAGGAGCTGCCCCCTGGTGGTCAGTGTGTTCCCACAGGGGAAGCTCTGCTCAGCCACAAGCCAGGCTGATGGCTGCCAGTCCAGCGGTGGTGGTGGTGGGAGCCTCTCCCCCCTCAGCAGCGCTAAGGATGTCCAACTGCAGCTTAGGCCTGCTCCCTGCTGGCAAGTAGATATCCCCCAAGGGCTGCTGGGCTGCCAGAGGGATGTCTGACTGCCAGGTTGGGCCTGATCCCCCAGGGAGCGGGCCTAAACCAGCAGGTGGACATCCTCTGAGGGGTCCCAGACTGCAAGAGGGCTTAGGCCCGGCTGAGGGACCCCCCGAGTGCACAAATTTTTGTGGACCGAGCCTCTAGTTACTAGAGTCTAGTACATATATAAAAGGATTAAGTGCTTCTACCAGAAGACACAGGGTAGCTGAATGCATTGGAAAATAAAACCCATACATATGCTGTCTAAATGAGACCCACTTCAGATCAAAAGACACAGCATGAAAGTAAAGGGTTGGAAAAGAGTTATTTCATCTCTACCTTTGGGTCCCCAAGATTCTTTTCTACAGAGAATTTTACTGTAGTGAGAGCTCTAATTGTAGACTGTGTATATTTAATAGGTGTGAGAATAAACGTGCTCAGAGTTAGCTGACCTATGTGGAAGCGCTGACTCTTAAAGAAGTCAGCATGTAAACATTTTTTCAATACCCAGAAACCTGTGGTGCATGGAGCTGGAGCAGGTCAAAGCAGGCCTGCTGGGAATCTCAGATAAAGATGCCTCTCTTTTATGTGAACCACTTAATTGATGGCTTTACATTCTGTTTCTAAAATTTGGAAATCCTATAAAGGAAAAACTGTGCCCTTGGAGGGGAAAAAGTTTGCTTAAGGCATGTAAGGGGCCAAACCGGTTTGGCTCAGTGGATAGAGCGTCGGCCTGCGGACTGAAAGGTCCCAGGTTCGATTCCGGTCAAGGGCATGTATCTTGGTTGCTGGCACATCCCCAGTGGGGGGTGTGCAGGAGGCAGCTGGTCGATGTTTCTCTCTCATCGATGTTTCTAACTCTCTATTCCTCTCCCTTCCTCTCTGTAAAAAGTCAATAAAATATATTTAAAAAAAAAAAAAAAGGCATGTAAGGGAATTGAATGCAACACAATTATAGTAGTCAGTCATTTGCTAACATTGTAGTTCATTATTAATAACTAGATGCCGGGTGCAAGAATTCATGCTGACTACTTTGAAGGCACATTCTGTGACTCCTCAACATTTTGTCACCTGAGGAAACAAACCAGACCCTGATCAGGACCAAATGGCTGCTTCTCAGGTAAAAGATGTGTCCTGTGTCAAAGGCTGTTTGCTTTTCTTTGAACTTCTGTTGATTTATTTCTCTTTCTCTTCCCACGCCTGTGTCTCCTCTGCTGCCACTGTTACAGTCTGCCCTGTTCCCCACAGCTGGCTGACTCTCATTGCTGCTTCTCCCTCTGCTCCGTCATCCCTAAACCCCTCTTTCTGTCCCTACACTCGCTCCCCTTAATTTATCTCCTCTGAACCAGTCTATCTGAAGTGTCTCCCCCTTTGTTGCCCCCTCTTCTGTTCACCATGACCCCTCTCCCTCCCAGCTGCCCTTCACGTCTCTGGGGCTTCTTCCTCTCCTCCCATATTTCTCAAACTTTTGATGTTCTTGCCTTTCCAGGTTTATTTCCTTTCCTTATTTCTTATGATAGTGTCAGCAGTTTCTATATGTCCCTCGCTTTTTTAATATATATTTTTGTTGACTTCAGAATGGCAAGGAGAGGGAGAGATAAAAACATCAATGAGCAGCCCTAACCAGTTTGGCTCAGCGGATAGAGCTTCGGCCTGCGGACTGAAGGGTCCCAGGTTCGATCCCGGTTAAGGGCATGTACCTTGGTTGCGGGCACATCCCTAGTGGGAGGTGTGTAGGAGGCAGCTGATCGATGTTTCTCTCTCATCGATGTTTCTAACTCTCTATTCCTCTCCCTTCCTCTTTGTAAATAAAATATATTTAAATAAAATATATTAAAAAAAAAAAAAAAGAAACATCAATGAGCAGAGAGAATCCTTGATCAACTGCCTCCTGCACACGCCCCACTGGTGATCGAGTCTGAAACCTGGAGTGTGTCCTGACCAGGAATGGAAACCGGCCCTCCTGGTTCAGAGGTTCACGCTTTATGTCTCAGCCACTCTGGCCAGCTATACTTCTCTTTTTCCCAGAGCCTTCTCTGCCTTCATTTTATGCAGCCTCCCCAAGGCAGGAAGCATTTCCTCCTTTAATTAATGACTTTCAACTACTCAGAACATTCCTTTTGTGACAGATCCATCTGGAAAGGCAGCCATGTCTAACATCCCTATTGGGATGGGGTCAGAGGCTCTAGTATCTTGAAGAAGGGAAATGTAGATTTATGTTCAAGTGGCTGCAGCATCAGCTCTTGATCAGGGGTAAGAAAATGCACATTTTACTGCTCAGAATAGCTCAGAAAGTTCTGATAGAAGAGTAAATAGTAAATAGAAGGGACTGGCTCACTAGATTAGTACGAAAGACCTGGTAGTTAAATGTACTATTAACTTACAGAACATGAGAGGTACATGTGGATTAACACTTGCAAAAATTAGTGTTTACTTGTGATCATATCCACATAATTATATTTTTAAGTAAATTTTCTTTTAAAAAATATTTTTTTAATGATTTTTAAAAAAATATATATTTTATTGATTTTTTACAGAGAGGAAGGGAGAGGGATAGAGAGTTAGAAACATCGATGAGAGAGAAACATCGATCAGCTGCCTGCTGCACACTCCTCACTGGGGATGTGCCCGCAACCAAGGTACATGCCCTTGACCGGAATTGAACCTGGAACCCTCTGTCCTCAGGCTGACGCCCTATCCACCAAGCCAAACCGGTTAGGCCACATCATTATTTTTTTATTGAAGTATTTTTGGCAGTAATGTCACAGCAGTGGTGACCTGACCTTCCCTGTGCCTCAGTCACCTGATACCCATTGTCTCAATCCACCTGATATTCAGGTGGCACAGATGCTTCCCTCACTGTAGAGTTAATAGTCTCCCTTTCTCAGGAACAAGGGTGTAGTAGGGGTTTAATGAAAGTTGTGCAAAGACCATCACTTCACATCTGGAAATGTCCCTCTTCTTAGCTTGCATTTGCTTTGGAAAATGAAGGACTTACTTTTGTTTCCTACAGATCATTGGCTTTTGCATGGGACCTTTAAACAATCAGGCCTTGATTCTTTACATTTTCATTATATTCTATACTCATATGAGAGCCATACCCTACATTATCACTTTTTGTATTTTTTAGAAAGTTTCTCTCTCATCACTGATATTTCTATTTCTCCCTCTCTGAAATCAATAAAAGTAAATATTAAAAAACTAGCCAACAACCACTACTTCCTCATTAGTGAACTCAGGAGCGAGCCTCAAGATTGAGGGACACAGGCCCCCTGGATCTTATCAGAGTTGTCATAGTGGGACTTGTGGCAAAGGCAGTAATAAACACCAAAATTTCCTGCATTTGCAATGGGCATACAGCCAAGGCGTGAGCAAAAAAACTATCAGGATGGCCCGGCTGGCATGGCTCCGTGGTTGAGTGTGGACCTGTGAACCAGGTGGTCATGGTTAGATTTCTGGTCAGGGCACATGCCCAGGTTGCTGCTAGAGCCTCAGGATCCCGTGTGGGGCTTGCAGGAGGCAGCTAATCAACGATTCTCTCTCTTCACTGATGTTTCTCTTTCTCCTTCCCTCGCTGAAATCAATAAAAATAAACAAACTATCAGGGCCCTAACCGGTTTGGCTCAGTGGATAGAGTGGCGGTCTGTCGACTCAAGGGTCCCAGGTTCGATTCCGGTCAAGGGCATGTACCTTGGTTGGGAGTGTGCAGGAGGCAGCTGATCGATGTTTCTCTCTCATTGATGTTTCTAACTCTCTCCCTCTCTCTAAAAAAATCAATAAAACATACTTTAAAAAATAAAATTTAAAAACTATCAGGATGACGCGCTCATTGTTCTTCACTCGTTCTAGATAGTGCTGCGGATCCCTCAGGTGGGACATGTCCATGGCGGCTTCCTGGTCAACTTCCTTCTTGGTTCTGTGGCCCTGCTCTTGCCTTCCGGGATGACGGGTAACTTCATTTCGATTCTGGGCCGGGCAGAGGCGCTCCTGCTGGAGAAGGAGAGACGACATTCCTGGCGGTGTACGCGGCGGCCACTGGTTGCTGCAGTTGCCAAAACAGGAGAAGCCCTTTCTGGCCTTTGGAGACTTCGTACCATGTAGCACTAACGTGGGGCCGCCATCGTAGAAGTCGGGCACTTGGCCGTCTGTGTGGGAATGACGGACAGAGCGGGGACATGGAGGCCCCCGAGGCGACCCAGAGGCCGGCTCGCGGCCTGGCCGCTCAGCGACTCCCATCAAAGGAAGTTCCCCTTCATGTCCCGCACCAGCGGCGCCGAGGGCCGGCACTGGAGGCCGCACCGCCCGCCACCGCGCAGGGCGTGGCCCACAGGACCGGGACGCTAGCGGGCGACGGTCGAGGACATGGCGACAGCCGTTCCTCAGGGGAGCATTTCTTTACCCGAAAAAGACACTTTGGGAGCTCAGCCCCGCCTAGTCGGCTTCCCGGGCAGGTTCAGGTTTATTTTGTCGCGGCTACTGCGCATGCTCAGCCTCTTGGCCTCGCCCCTGCCCTAAAGCTCCCCTCAGGCCACGCCCCTGCTGTTTTTTTTTTTTTTTTTTTTTGCTGCAAACCAAGCGGAAGCCAGACTGAGGACCGGTCCCGCCTCTGCAACGATTTCCGTCGGCTGTCTCCCGGGCCTGCGCATGCGTGGCTCCTCACTAGGCCCCTTACTGAACATGCAGGCCAGTTCCATCGCAGATTTTTTTTTTCACCCGCAGGTGGTAGCAGCGCAAGCGCGGCCTCTCCAAAGCCCCGCCCCTCGCGCGAGCCCCGCCCCCGGGACGCCGCTTACCCTCCGCCGCCATCTTGTAGGAGCTCGGAAGGTAGGAGAGACGTCCCAGGTCACACTGCGGAGCGTGAGTTCGTCTTTCTAGTTTCTTGACCGTCCCCTCCTCTCCGCAAGCCCTAGGGGTCGCCCTGCACCTTGACGTCCCCGCAGGCGCCCCCGTCCTCCGTGTAAATGTAGGCGGCGTCCTCCTCAGGCCCGGGCACTTCCCTTGGCATTTAAAATGGCGCCTAGCCCTAACCGGTGTGGTTTCGGCTCCTCAGGTTTGTTTCCCCGGGTGTCGCCTGACACCGGAAGGGGAGTGTTGGCTCTGCAAAGGTTCCTACCGCTGGTGGGTGTGTGTGTGTCCACGCGAGCACAAGATTTGAAGAAAAGGGTGGGAAGGGGCCCCAGCCGCTTTGGCTCAGTGGATAGAGCGTCGGCCTGCGGACTCAAGTGTCCCAGGTTCGATTTCGGTCAAGGGCATGTACTTTGGCTGCAGGCACATCCCCCGTAGAGGGGGTGTGCAGGAGGCAGCTGATCCATGTGTCTCTCTCATTGCTGTTTCTAACTCTATCCCTGCCCCTTCCTCTCTGTAAAAAATCAATAAAACATATATATATTTTAAAGGTGGGGGGGTGGGAAAACTCACTTGTCTCTGCTGTTTACTGCCCCTAAACCCCTCCTGTGGCCGTGAGGAGCAGACCCCGTCTTTTCCACACGGTGAGGTCAATCCTGTGGATGGTGGCGGCGCAGGAAAGGGGGTGTGTTGGTAAATGGCATACTTTCATCTGCCTATTCGCTGCTAAACTCTCTTGTTGCCCGAGGCAGAAGCCCAGAAGAGGAGGAAGAGGAAAGGGTTCTGTAGTGGCTGTTTCTCAGGTAAAGTCATATTCTCAGTGGGTTGTGTCCGTCCTTCCTGAAATGCCCTTTGACTTGTTGATATTCTCTGACCGAGTTGTCCCGCCTGACATTTGTTTGTTCACACTCAACCCGGGCCTCCCCTCAGTCCCTCTCATCTTAACTTAAATTCTATCCCACCATGATTCAGTGACATCAATTTTTTATCAACCCGGATAAAAGAACATGCCGATAGGCCAGCTGGTGTTGCTCCGCAGTTGAGCATGGAAGCAGGAACCAAGAGGTCACATGCTTGGGTCTGGGCTTGGTTCCTGGTAGGAGGCGTGCAGAATGTTTCTCTCTTTCTCTTTCCTAAAATCAATTAAAAATTTATTTTTGAGCCCTGATTGGTTTGGCTCAATGGATAGAGCGTCAGCCTGGGTACTGAAGGATCCCGGGGTCGATTCCAGTCAAGGGCATGTACCTTGGTTGTGGGCACATCCCCAGTAGGGGGTGTGCAGGAGGCAGTTAATCCATGTTTCTCTCTCATCGATATTTCTGACTATCTCTTTCCCTTCCTCTCTGTAAAAAAATAAATAAAATATTTAAAATTTGAAAAGAACATGCACATAAGAGTCACATAATAATACGCACAAATATTTAGTAAGTTCTGGTGAAAAGACCAATAAGCAAAAATATTTCTGTGTTGATAATACATTTGAAGCTAAATGAGCAAATCATGCCATTATCAATTTTACAATAGGAAGTCAACAGAAATGTCTGACAGTGGGAGGTTCTTTGGATCATTTTTATCACATCCATTTTTTGGAGGTTACATTATTACCCTGTGGATTAGGTTCTTTGAGACAGAGTAATCTTTACGTTTGTTGCAGTTTGGGTTTATTTCAAGGCATTTTCTTATGTTCTATTCCTTTAAGTATCTGTGTTAATATACTCTTCAGTCTAAAAAGGTGAAGCCTCTAACGTTCTTTTATTTGAAGAAAGTTTGGTCTCTGCTAGATCCCTTTGCTTGCTTCCATATGAATTCTAGTTTTGTTTTGTTTTGTTTTTTAATGCAAAAAGATTTATTTGTCCACACACACCAGTGAAGGAAGGCAGTCTTCTGTCAAATGGAGATTAAGATTCTTAAGTGGCTGATTCTGGGACCTACTACAATGGGAAGACTTGCTTTGCTGCCTTCAGGCGTTAGGTCTGTTTACCTAACACTACAGCAGGCTTTTTCAATGGGGCTTCCTCCTCCTGGGCCTGATTTTTTAACTCCTTATGATATACTAGCTGGTTTTGCAGGTACTTTGTGTTACTCTTCTGTTCATCCAGGCGCTTTCCCATGAAGCATAAGACATCATATTCATTGTTGGCAGAAGCTATGTTCTTCACGTCTAGCAAGAGCTAGCTTACTTGTTCTTCAACTCCAGGACAGACTGTAGAGCTTGTGTGCCAATTCCCCAGTTATCTGTTTCTTAGTCACTGGAAGGCAGATATTACTTTCACATCCTGTATCTCAAGAATTGCTTTCCATGTTCCCTCTTCACCTCAGCTTGGTCTTCAAAGAATGCAGCAAAACAAGGTTCTAAGCCTTCAATGTAATAACAGGCCATAGATAAATGAGCATCACTGATGTGCAGCTCGTAAGATGCCACGTGATTAATAGCAACCCTACAGTCTTCAGAGAGTGGGTGCTTGGCTGCCATCGAGAATACCAAGCATAAACAGTGTTCTAATTTTTAATGTTTTTATTTCTGCCAAATTGCCCTTGTAGAGAGAGAGAGAGAGAGAGAGAGAGAGTGTGTGTGTGTGTGTTTTGTTAATCCTCACCCTGAGGATGTTTTTCCATTGATTTTTAGGTAGAATAAAAGAAAGGAAGGGGGAGAGGAGAGAGAGACATCAATGTGAGAGAGACACATCAATTGGTTGTCTCTTGCACCAGTCTGGGGATCAAGAACCTGCAACTCAGGCACTGTGCTCTTGATGGAGAATTGAACCCAAGACTCTCTGGCCAGTGCGCTAACCATTGAGAACACAGGTTAGAGCTGACTTGATAATATTTTAAAATATATTTTTATTGATTTCAGAGAGGAAGGGAGAGGGAGAAAGAAACATTAATGATGAGAGAGACTCATTGATTGGCTGCCTCCTGCATGTCCCCTACTGGGGATCGAGCCCGCAACCCCTGTATGTTCCCTGACAGGTAATAAAACCCTGACCTCCTGTGAAGTCAACCACTGAGCAACAATGGTCGGGCTAAATCACATATTTTTATGTAGTCTAGTTTATTTGCTGCAGTTTTCCCATTTTCTTCCTGAGCTATTTTGTTACCGTCATTATTCTATGGTATTTGATGGGTCATGTCTCTGCTTGGGCATTTGTGGAAATGAAATAATGCTTTTTTTTAAAAAAAATATTTGAACCCTGGTCAGGTGGCTGAACTGGTTGGAGCATCATCTCATACACTGAAAAGTTGCTGCTTTGATTCATGGTCAGGGCATATATGTAGGTTTTGGATGTGATCCCTGTTTGGGGCCTCTAAGAGAGACAACTCATCAGTGTTTTTTCTCACATCAATGTTTTTTTTTCCCCTCTCTCTCTCTCTCTCTCTCTTTCCCTAAAATCAATAAGCAGATCCTTGGGTGGGGACTAAAAACAAGTATTTGACATTTCAGTATTTAGCAGGTTGAATGTAGAGATTTTTCTCTTGTTTTCCAATAGGTAGCACTGAGGCACATGTTTTTATTTTATCTTGCTTATACTGCTGAGACTTCTGTTGGGTGCTGTTGCCTTGGCTGTGGAAAATGCCCTGTATTCCCTAGGGAGGTGGGAATGCCCACTGTTTCCAGGTCACCTGTGTCTAATTGTACCACCTTCGTGGGGGAATGTTGTGGCCCCGCAAGATCCCAGTGCTGCCTCCTGCCACCAGATGCTGCCATTAGTGCTATTCTCCCTGAGGTGTCCCAGGTGGCTCTACTGGGTTCTGCTGTCATGGGCTGTTTCAGGGAGAGGCTGGTTCTGCATTTACGGAGTGGTTCTTTTCCCAGTGATGGCAGCTGGTGGACCTTAGCTACTACACCTCTTTATCTCTGTACCATCACTGGATTTTTTTATATATATATTTTTATTGATTTTTTAGAGAGGAAAGGAGATAGAGTCAGAAACATCGATCAGCTGCCTCCTGCACATCTCCTACTGGGGATGTGCCCGCAACCTAGGTATATGCCCTTGACCGGAATCGAACCCGGGACCTTTCAGTCCGCAGACTGACGCTCTGTTCACTGAGCCAAACCGGTTTCGGCATCACTGGATTTAGCCACCATGTGCACCTGCCGAACAGAGAGAAATATTTTTGCTCCACTGGTCCTCAGGGCGGCTAAGAGTGAATGCTGTTATTCCACACACTTCCCCTGCTGCAGCGTGTGCAGGCTCCTCTGGGAGCTCTAGGATTGTGAGGGGAGGTGCTCCATGTCCTACTTTTGTTCTCTGCTTGGTAATGCTGGCTGCTAGGCCATAGCTGCCACACATTTGTGTACCTTTTCTGCTCCTATCTCTGGTTTCAGCTGCAGTTACCACTCAGGCAGGGATATTTCTTTTAACTTTTTGCTCTTTGGGGATGCAAGTGTGTGCTGGATGCCTTGACTCCTCTTCTAAGGGCCATGATGGCTCTATTTGTAGCACCTCTCTCTCCTTCACTTATCACTGTTCTTTTAGAAACATCCACCTTCATATGTTTTGATTTGAGGGTTTCTCAGGTGGTCATTTGTCCTTATCCATGAGAACTTGTATCCGGGCGCTCTATTGTGCTTGCTTCTATGTCTTTCTTTCTGTACTATAATTTTAGGAGAACACTAGCTTTGGAATATGTTTTAAAATCAGGAAACATGATGCCTCCAACCTTACACATTCTTTTCATGATTGTTTTGGATTTCTGATGTTCTGTAACATTTTATGTTAATTTTAGAAAAAAACTTTTTCTATTTCTCCCAGAAGTGTCATTGGGGATTTTGCTAGGGATTGCTTGGAATGTGTGGATCACCTTGGGTAGTATTGACAGCTTATAATACTAAGTATTTCAACCCAGGACCATGGGATGTGTTTTTAGTTATTTATTTTTCTTTAATTGCATCCAACAATATTTTATAGTTTTTACTGTTTAAGTCTTTCACCTTCATTAAGTTTCATACATATTTTTAAGTTAACTTCTAAGTGTCTTATAGTCCTTAACTTTGTTACTGTCAACATATTCTTAATTTTTCAGATTATTTACTTACTGTGTAGAATGAGAAGTAATTTTTGTGTTGATTTTGTATCTTGCATTTTGCTCTATTTCTTTGAATTCTGTATATAATAATTTTTTAAAAATCTATTCTTATTTATTTCAGTGAGAAAGGGAGAGGGAGAGAGAAAAACATCAACGATGAGAGAATCATTGATCAGCTGCCTCCTGCACGCCCCCTACTTGGGATTTCATCTACAACCTGGGCATGCGCCCTTGACTGGAATCAAACCCAGGACCCTTTAGTCCGCAGGCTGATGCTCTGTCCA